GTATCTATGCTTTTATTAATAAATGTACATATTGTATATAATACTAAGCTATTGTGTTTCCTATTCTCTGTTTGTGCTTTGCATGTAACAATATATATATATATATATATATTATCAGTAAATTACCAGTAGTTGCTTCATGCAGACTTCCTTTGTGCATAGATGATACTTTATGACTTGGCGAAAGTTAAAACTGTTATTTATATTGAAACGCCAGTCATCTGCACAGAAAGACATCAACAGTTCAAGAAAAAACACTCTTGTTTTGCATTTTCAGAATTCTAGACAGCGTTATCAAATTATCTTTATCGAGTCGTTATACGAATGGTTGATTCCATCCGCTGTTTCGTACTGCCATGACGTCATTATTACCAATTTTTCGGCTCCATTGCATCAGAAAATAGGCCTAAATGAGCATTTTTTAAATGAGTAGAATACACAGACTGATAGGATAAGATCTCGGATTGTAGAGTTAAGGCTGAAGATAAGAATTTTCTGAAATAAGAGAATATTGATGATGACTTGTATAGATTCATGGATTCACATTATACATACATCCCTTATTTCTAAATTTTGCTACAGAAAACTGTAGCGTAAAAACTAATAATAATGGGATGATGTTTAATTCTATTTTCGAGAAGCGTGTAGTAGGCCTAAATATTTTGATGAGTTTATCTGACATTTACGTAGTTAGACCCAATATTGTAGGTTGGTAAGCAAGTACATCAACGTTTTATTACGATGAAAATATTGTTTGATCGTGCTTTTTAACGTCTAGTTTTGAATAATTACCAAACAAGCGACATGCAGCTGTTTGTTTCTTGGTGTTTTCCAGGGTATTAGGCACATAGTGTTTTTATAGTGCTTTTTAATTTAAGCAATAAATGGAAGGTTCTAAGTATGTACAATTCAAAGAGCATGTTACTTCAGTCCGAAACGATCAATAGGTCTATTAAAATAATGCAGTGAGTTGATGCAGATATTTCATATTGTTACATCGTTTTAGTAGGCACAATTTCATCTTTAATTAAATTAGAAGTATACAGTACAGAAATAATCAATGTAAAAACAGTCAATTATTCATGAAGATTCCCCCTCTCATATAGGTAATCATATTATATATTTTTAATAGCGGAATATTCATTAAAAAATTAATGAATTGAAATTTTGTGGCCAGTGTTGATGAGCTAAAATATAGCAAGGGGTAAAAAAAAAAAAAGCATTTTGTAAAATGAATTTTTGGAATAAAATCTGTGGCCGTTTGCGGTCCCCTGTTCCGGTCCGCCAGTCATAGGCTCGACTTTCTTCTTTCTTCAAAGATTCGTTTTACATAGTTCGTCCAAACGAAACAAACCTACATCCCAGGAGGCCTATTGATATATACCTATTCAATTAAAATGGTTTCCTCGTTGCTATTCGTGTCTACTTCATATTCCTTCGACAGTTTTCGACGAGGTCAGCATACTTTTTTGTAACGAGGAAATTCTTGCCATAGAGCTTTATAACTTATAGTAGCACGTAATGACCAGGAGCGTCTATATAAGCCTGCATAAATTTACGTGATGCGCAGCACCAAAGATCGGGGACCCTCTGGGCTTAGAATTTTTGAAATTGTAATGATATGACCTGAGCTCATGACATACTGTACCTAGTGAAATCTAAGAAATAGGCATAGGACTGTAATAAACTTTATAAATGCCTTAGTGATTTGGTCGAAATATTCGATAGGTTCCTTAGAAAATGGTTAGGATGGGAGTATTTCGGTGTGAATCACACCAACGAAGACTCGTTTCCAGTTGGATCCTGGTGGTGAAATGGGCAGTACACCGAAAGAAGAGTGTACCGTGTTGGACATTTGTGCACACACCAGTTTAGCTGACTGAGCTAAGCTGCTCTGCTTAATAAATAGACATTTTTTTTGTTATCATCAAATTGTTTAAATCTACTAAACCAGTGGTTCCAACCTTTTTAAGGTTTGCATAAATTCGAAATTCGAATTCGAATTCTAAATGAAGTGGGGTGTCAAAAAGCCAATTTTACTGTTAGATAGCCTCAGCCCTACTATGGTTGGGGGCTGAAGTACAATTTTGTTTATGTCTATGACATTTCTAGGTGGTCGGAACTTGCGCTGTCAGACTCAAAATTTGAATGTAATTTTTGTTTATCCACCTTTAATTTTTAA